GGACTATATTGAGGGAACTTTTTTGAAAAGGCGACGAAATGGAAGAGGAGAGCAGACGGCAGAGCCGGCCAATGAAGAGGCCCCGTTGGAGAAGAAGGGAAGGGGCGGAGGGGGTTCCATGCAACTTCCTCATGACTGTGCAATGGAGGGGACAAAGGGAGAGAGGCTTTGCAATAAAAGTTTCTTTGGAACTTTCACAATTCAAATGCAAATGGAAGAAGTTGCAATAGTGCAGGAATTCATTTCTTTGCATAGCGGAATCCCCACCAGGTCGTGGTTGCACAAAGTGTCGACAGGGGGGATGGGGCAGGTTGCTGCTTTGAAAAGATTGCAGGGACATCGCTGTCATGCAAAGATTGCAAATAGTTGTGTAATGGTGGAGCTGGTGTGGATAGAACAAGCTGAGGCTGCTATTGCTATCACAAACAAGAGCTTTTTTGTCTTAATTTATCTCCATGCGGGTATAATCTTCTCCTCCCTCTCCTCCTTCTCCTTCCTTCTTATCCATTTTTCCACCCTCCACCTTCTCTACTTCTCACATTTCTCCGTAATTTTTCTCCTTTTTTCTCCTTCCCTGTTTTTCTCCTGCCAGTCATACCTTTCCTTCAAACTTTTTTTCAAATTACTCCTTTCTTCCTCTTATTCTCCTTCTCGCCTCCATCTTCCCAATCTTTCTTCGGCTCCTCGTATGTCCCGAGCAACAGTACCCTTCCAACTCAGTTTACAAATATAATTTTCCCCTCATTTTCCCTCATTTTCCCTCATTTTCCCTCATTTCCCCCTAATTCCCCCGTGTCCTGCAATGATTTTCCCTCTAATTTTCCCTTCACCCCCCCTCCCCTCCCCCGTGTCTTGCAATGACTCCCGGTTTCTATTTTAACTTCCTATCTATCCCCGCGGTAACTTCTTTAGCTAACTTCTTTTGTTAGCTTCATGAAGGGGGTATCGGCGCTGGCCCTGTAATGACGAATTTCCTCCTTATCTTGTGAAGTTTGGGCGGTCAAGACTCCGATCGACTTTTCCCGTTTATTGTGTGGATTTGTCCTAACGTTTCTGGTTGTTGGTTTTTGAGATTTTACGGGAATTAGTAGGAAAAAAAGACGAAAATGTCTTTGTTTCCTCAGAGATTATACATTTTCTTTGTTTAGAGTGCATGGCCCCACATAGCTTTGAAGAATCTTGGAAAGTTTATTTATTACTTTGATGTCCACATATTGTTCTCCGACACAATGATAATCAAAGCAGGTCCATTTTTGTATGGGGTTTGCCACATAAGAAATAGAATTCAAGCTCGTTTAAAGGAGTTTTGAGTTTATTATTTCCACCAGAATAGCCCCAGGAGTCTCTTTGAGCATAAGTTTCACAGAGGAATGTAATGGATTGGATTCCTTGGTTTCGAACTTCTGTAGTTTAGAAGTATGAATTCCACCCCCGCCTGTCGGACCTATAACCCGTAGAACCAAATACTAAAATTTGTATAGAATATTTGATTTGATTTTCTTCTTTATAAGTGTCTTTGTTAATGAAACCGAGGTGATTCTGATTTAGTTTCGTTCACAATAATTTTTGAAAAACAAATATAAGAAGTACGAGACGTGACGTCAAATAAATCAAAGCAGGATAAAAAAAAAATCGCTATTGCAGTTTCAACAAACGGGTTTCAGGCAGACGAAATTGCGAAATTAATTAAAACTTTATCGTTGGGAGGCGCAGCCGTTTGTGAGGAGACCCAAGGTGCGTCTCCTCTCTCGCTTTCTCTTCGCTTTCTCTCACGTCTCTCTACCTTGCCAGCCTCTCCCTGCCAGCTTTCCCTCCCAGTCTCTTCTACCTGACAGTCGCTCATCCTAGTCAGCTTTTTCTACCTTCTAGCCTCATCTCCCTGCAACCTCTTAACCATGCCACCACACCCCCTCCCCGTTACTTCTGCATCCTGCCACCTCATCTAACTGCAACCTCTTCAGCTTCCCACCTCATCTCCCAACAGCCTCTTCACCCTGCCACCTCATCTCCCTGCAGCCTCTGTATCCCATCAACCCCGTCTCCCTGCCAGCTTTTTCCCCCTGCCAGCTCGCCCTTCCCTGCTTCCCTCTCTTTTTGCATATTCTGCGCGTTGGACTTTCATGCCATGCGTTACTTCGCCCGCTGCCGGAAGTGAGAGGGAGAGAGAGAACAGAAGAAGGGAAAGGGGGATGGAAGAGAATGAAATAGGGGAAGAGGTAGAAAAGAGGCCAAAGGGACAGACAGCAGACAGGCGGACAGACAAAGACAGACAGATAAAGGCAGGAGTGTGAGACTTGCAAAGGTAGTGTGCGCGTGAGAGGGAGAAAGAGAGAGGCAGAAAAAGAAACAAGACATGGGGAGATCCTGAATGAGGTAGAAAAAGCCTATATGTTGTTCGAATATACTTTTCTCAAGATTATTCTTATTTTTGTTTCTTTGTTTATTTCTCGTTCCATCTATTTTTCCTTATTCCTCTCCTCCTCCTCCTCCACCTCCTCTTCCTTTTCATCCTCCTCCTCCACCTCCTCTTCCTTTTCATCCTCCTCCTCCTCCTCCTCTTCCTTTTCATCCTCCTCCTCCTCCTCCTCCTCCTCCTTCCTTTTCATCCTCATCCTCCTCCTCTTCCTTTTCATCCTCCTCCTCCTCCACCACCTTGTCCTCCTCTTCCTTTTCATCCTCCTCCTCCTCCACCACCTTGTCCTCCTCTTCCTTTTCATCCTCATCCTCCTCCACCACCTTATCATCATCCTTCCTTTTCATCCTCCTCCTCCTCCACCACCTTATCCTCCTCCTCCTCCTCCTCCTCCTCCTCCTCCTCCTCCTCCTCCTCCTCCCCCCCTCCCCCTCCCCCTCCCCCTCCCCCTCCTCCTCCTCCTCCATCTTCTCCTCCTCTTCTTCCTTTTCCTCCTCTATTCCGATTTATGTTTACTAGTTTCCTTTTCTGTCTGTCTCTTCCCGCATTCTTCACAGTTTTCTTCCCCTCATTGCATTCTGCACATTTCTCTCTCCTTTTGTGCATTACACTTTTTTCTTTTATCTTTTGTTTCTTTTTTGTCACTGTGCATTCCATTCACTTTTCTCTCCCTTTAGGTATAAATTTTCTCTTCCCTTGTGCATTGTATACATTTTTCCTCCATCCACATTCTGCATATTTTCTTAATTGTATAGAATACATGCAACTGCCTCTTTAATTCTCCGTCTCCTTTTCCCTTTCCCTTCCCCTTTCCCTTCCCCTTCCCCTTTCTGTTTCCCTCTCCCTTCCCCTTCCCCACTGCCTCTCCCTCTCCCTCTCTATTTATCTATCTATCTCTCTATCTAATTGTATTTTTCTCTCTGTGTCCCTGTCTCCTCCTCCTCCTCCTCCTTTCTCTCCCTCCCTCTCGCCTCTCTTCATTTTGTATCTTTTTTTTTTCCTCTACCCTATTTTCGGACGGCCTCGGACAAAACTAAAGGCTTTGTTCATATTAACGTCGAGAAGTTTAGCATCTCAAGCGAACTTCTTTTCGTCTCGTCCTCTCCGTCAAATAACCTAACAGGACCTCGTCTCCAAGTGCTTCTCTCTCTGGGAAAATTATTGAAGTTCGTTGTTTGTGTATTATTTTATTGCCACTTTTTATCAGGTTTCTTTTTTTTCTCTGGCTTTTATTGTTGCAGGGAGAGAGGGCTAGGGGGAGGTAGGAGGGGTGAGAGAGGGGGGGGGGCAATATGAAATTGTATTTTTCGTCTGTATCGCTGCTGTTGATTAGTTGTTCTTTACCTTCAGTATTTCATCATAAAGTATTTCCCCTTTTCTGTGTAAGTGACTCTCCTCATTATGATAATTTTCCATTATGCGGTTATTTCAGTTTTCTCCCCTCTGTTATTCGCGTCCCCTTTTCTTTTACCCTCGTTTCTATTTTCGTCTTATTAATTCTTTATAACCCTCCCAATCAGCCTCTTCTTATCCTCTTATCTCCTCTCTCTTGTCTCTCCGCCCCCTCTTTCCTTTCTCTTTTCCCTCACCCTTCGAATCTATTTATTTCGCCAGCGCTATTTCCCCATACCCCGTCCTTCCCCTCTCCCCTCCAGACTTATTTAGATTTCCTCGTCCTCCTACCCCTTCTCCTTTTCCTCTTCCTTGTCCTGCTCTTCCTCTTCCTCCTCCTCCTCCTCATCGTTCTCCTCCTCCTCTTCCTTTTCCTCTTCCTCGTCCTCCTCCTCATCTTTCTCCTCCTCTTCCTCGTCCTCCTCCTCATCTTTCTCCTCCTCCTCCTCTTCCTCGTCCTCCTCATCTTTCTCCTCCTCTTCCTCGTCCTCCTCCTCACCTTTTCTCCTCTTCGCCTCCTCCTCCTCACCTTTCTCCTCCTCTTCGCCTCCTCCTCCTCCTCCTTTACCCCCCACCCCTTTCGCTCTTTAGGTTTCCTTTTCATTCACTCCGAACGAATATCCATAAGGATCTCGGGAGTACCTGGGCCTTATCCCAAGCAAGATCCACGGAGGTAAGCCAGCAAGAGGATGTTGGATTAGGTGTTGTTGTGGTGCCTCTTTTACTCCCGAGAGAGGGAGAGGGGAGGGGGGAGGGAGGGAGAGAGAGAGAGGGAGGGAGAGACAGACAGAAAATACAGAGAGAAAGAAAGAGTAGACAGGCACATAGATAGTCAGACAGATGATGACTTGTTTTTCGTCCATAACTTCGAAATAGTAAGTCAAATCTTGTAGTAAACAGCCACCTACAATACACCCACACCTCCTATAAGTATCACAGCACGCTAACATCATGATGCCGTCCTAAGCACAGCTAAGTGACACCACGTGGCTTTTTATTAATTAAATTCCGTCACCATAACAGCGCAACTTAGGAGACCGTTTCAGCGGGCTACGTTATGTACACGTTCGCCGGCGGCCGCTAAAGAGGATTTGGGCGGGACGTTTACCGTGGGTGAGATCAGATCCTCCTCAGTCAACACTCGCGACGTCGAGCCAATTCTCCGAACGTGATGCGGCGTGAGAGGTAGGGTGCGTTAGGGTGGCTGGGGCGGAAGACGAGCGTGGGGTGGGGTGCGGTAGGGTGACAGGGGCGGAGGCGGAAGGGTGACAGGGGCGGAAGACGTCCGTATGGGGGGGGTGCGGAAGGTGACAGGGGCGGAAGACGACGGTATGGAGAGGTGCGGAAGGGTGACAGGGGCGGAAGACGACGGTATGGAGAGGTGCGGAAGGGTGACAGGGGCGGAAGACGACGGTATGGAGAGGTGCGGAAGGGTGACAGGGGCGGAAGACGTCCGTATGGGGGGGGTGCGGAAGGTGACAGGGGCGGAAGACGACGGTATGGAGAGGTGCGGAAGGGTGACAGGGGCGGAAGACGACGGTATGGAGAGGTGCGGAAGGGTGACAGGGGCGGAAGACGTCCGTATGGGGGGGGTGCGGAAGGGTGACAGGGGCGGAAGACGACGGTATGGAGAGGTGCGGAAGGGTGACAGGGGCGGAAGACGACGGTATGGAGAGGTGCGGAAGGGTGACAGGGGCGGAAGACGACGGTATGGAGAGGTGCGGAAGGGTGACAGGGGCGGAAGACGACGGTATGGACAGGGGCGGAAGACGACGGTATGGGGGGGGGGTGCGGAAGGGTGACAGGGGCGGAAGACGACGGTATGGGGGGGGTGCGGAAGGGTGACAGGGGCGGAAGACGACGGTATGGAGAGGTGCGGAAGGGTGACACGGGCGGAAGACGACGGTATGGGGGGGGTGCGGAAGGGTGACAGGGGCGGAAGACGTCCGTATGGGGGGGTGCGGAAGGGTGACAGGGGTGGAAGACGACCGTGGGGAGGGGTGCAGGAGGGTGGAAGGGGCGGAATACGAGTGCGAGAAAAGGTGCAAGAGGGTGACAGAGGCGGAAGGCGAGCGTGGGGAAGGGTGCAAGAGGGTGACCGGGTTGGAAGACGACTGCGAGAGAGGGTGCGAGAGGATGAAAGGGGAGGATGATGACCGTGGGGAAGGGTGAGGTGGAGCGAGAAGGTTATTACGGCCAACCCTCCTGCAATCCCATCTCCAACCCACCGCTTTTTTTACGCCGTCCTCCGGAGGGACTTTCTTGCAAGATATGTTAAAAAATGGCTTTTCAAAATAATTTATGGGTTAGGGTGAGGCGCAGTATCATGCCGCGAGGGAGCCGGTTAAGGAGAGACAAGGACAGTCGAGCACAGTGTTGGCAGTCGAGCACGGATCTCGGCGACTCGACCCGGCTTTAAGGATCTGCCGACGCTGTTCGTGGTGCTTCCAACGTTGCAGGATCTCCAATCTGCCAATCCACTCTCCGAGATCGTGAACAGATTCGCCTTGCCTGTCAATGTCTTTTTTTTATGACTGTCTCTTGGTTAAGTCCATGGGATAATTGAAATAAAGAAAAAGTGCTTGTGTGCCCTTAGAAGGGTAGCGCAGCCTTACTTTCTTGCATATAAGGTGACGGGATCAAGTTATATGGCTTTTTTATTTGATTCAATTTTCCTTTTTTATGAGGACGCCGTATCCAGATTATCTTAACTACATCACTGTTTGCTTTTATGAAGAAATAGTTCGAGTAAATGCTTTCCTTGGTAAAACGGTATAGAGACGAAAATCCAGATTTCAATATATTCCGGTGCTTGTGATGCAGTTACACTTCAGGTAGTGTAACCATTTTCATATGACTTTTTCTGTCCATTTCTTTATTTTAGCTTATAGCAGTATTCCAAAGAGCTGTCAGAAAACTCTTTTTTTTTATCTGTTAGTAATTATGTGTTGGTGAACATTGTGATAAATCATTCTGAAGTCTGACGTATTAGAAAAAATATGGCTTTTTTTTCTCTCTCTCTTTCATATTTTGTTGCCGTTCACTACGATCAAGTTGAGGTTTACTGAAGATTACGTGCCGTTGACTGTAGTTGTTTTTTGCGGTGATATTGAAAATCTGAATTCCTTTAGGTGTGTTTCCCCGACATTTTTTTTACCTGGCCATGGCTGTCAGGTTACGAATGCTACAGTATAGTGGCATATGTCATTCTTGTTTTTTCCTTCTTTTAGCGTCCGTAACATCTTTAGAGGAGTAGACGTCATATCCAGTCTCATGTCATTTCTGTATAACATGACATTCTCATTTTTGATATGCACGGACCATGTTGAATAAATAAATAAATACGACAGAGTATATAACCTCTACAAGGCAGTAGCAGCCTAGAGGAGGACGTTATATAATCTTTGTTTAATTAATTAATTAATTATGGGTTTCTTGGTTTCCTGGCTTTGTTACCAGGATTATGGGAAAAGTTAAGATGCATTGCGACGAAAATTTCTGTCGCTTGCCCATACTACGCGATAGAATATTTTAGATTTCAGTTGTGATTTTAAGCGTACAATATTGCATGTTTGATGATGAGGGGAGGGGGATTAAGGGTAGTTGAAGGTAGATTAAGGGAGATCTTGGTGGTAGAACAAAGTAGAGAGATGAGTGTAGATTAAAACTATTGATGGAGGTGAAGTATACATTTTTTCTTCTAATTGCAATATCTGTCATAAGATTATATATTCAGTAGAAATCGTTGGAGGGTTTTGGTCTGATGATCTGAAAGGGTTTTCGAACGTGTCCTTATCTGGAATAATGAACATTCGCGGGTGGCAGGGCGGATGTACTATTTTGATATATATTTTTCCTTTCAAACTATGATGGAGTTGAATATTTTTTTATTATTGTTATTACCTTTATCATTATTATTATTATTGTTATTATTTTTATTATTTTTTTATTATTGCTGTTATTATTATTTTTATTGTTGTTGTTATTATTATTATTATTATTATTATTATTATTATTATTATTGTTACTATTATTATTATTGTTCTTTGTTATTATTATTATTATCATTATTATAAAGATAGATAATATATTTCAGGAGCAGAATAAGTAGACTTGTTAAACAGAGGGACGAGGATCGATTAAAATTGATAACAAAGACTTGCGCCCTCTGAGTGCTTTCGAGTTGCAAATATGCAGTTGCAGGCTACAGTGATTTGGGTTTTTGATAAGTTTAGGATAATTTACCTAAGCTTGGTATCCCTCATCACCTTGTTTCGATATTCATCAGATGTGACACTCAGTAACGGAATTTTTAGCGATGATTTTAAAGTATTAACTAGAGTTTGAGAGTTGAGTGTTTTTACAGGCACTCTCTTTGATGTAAAAAGCTTTCGTTGGGCGGTGTGTGTGTGTGTGTGTGTGAATGCATGTTTGTGTGTGTGCGCATGTGCGCGTATGTGTGCATGTGTGCGTGTGTGTGTGTGTGTTTCTCTGTATGTTTGTGTGAGTCTGTGTGTCCGTGTATCTGTTTACTTTATGTACACTATGAAAGTTATATAGCGTACAATCGTAGTTTCGGACGACACGCAGCTGACATGCATTCTCGTGGTTATTGGGTACATGAGAGTGCGAATGTGACGTCACTTGTTACTTATAGATGAATGGATTGTATTTGGGACGTCGATGAGAGGAAGCACTGAGTCTGGAATGCACATGAAAAATAATAACATAAGTAAAAAAAAAGAAAAAGAATAGGTGTGTAAATAGCTCCAGGTACTGGGTATGGTGAAGATGAAATGTGCGGTAACGATGGTAATAGATTTAGGACTATAGAGTGATGGAAGTTCGTTGATTTAGATCGTTGTGGCAAATACAGTGATCGTAATGGTGTACAGAGTGACAGAGATTGTTATTCTTTTATCACAACTTAATGATAATGAGAGTATACCTGCGATTACAATAGCGGAAAGTTTCAGATCGTGTCACCGACCGAGATGATCTGCATAGCAATTATGGTGTTGCTGTGCATGCTTATGACGCATTGCAATCTATCGGGCAGTGACCACGAGTCGCCCTGTGAGCATTAGGGATGCCTACAGACACAAACACACATACGCACGAACACGCATGTGCACAGATGCACGCACAAACTCCCTCACAGTCCCTCTGGGTCGGTAATCAATACACTAGAGCCCTGCCGGCACCAGCCGTGGTGGGGGGCTTGGAAGAGGAAGAGGAGGAGGAGAAGGATGGGGAAGAGGAAGGGGAGGAGGAGGAGAAGGATGGGGAAGAGGAAGGGGAGGAGGAGGAGAAGGATGGGGAAGAGGAAGGGGAGGAGGAGGAGGATGGGGAGGAGGAGGAGAAGGATGGGGAAGAGGAAGGGGAGGAGGAGGAGAAGGATGAGGAAGAGGAAGGGGAGGAGGAGGAGGATGGGGAAGAGGAAGGGGAGGAGGAGGAGGAGGATGGGGAAGAGGAGGAGAAGATAGGGGAGGAGGAGGAGGATGGGGAAGAGGAAGGGGAGGAGGGAGGATGGGGAAGAGGAAGGGGAGGAGGAGGAGGATGGGGAAGAGGAAGGGGAGGAGGAGGAGGATGGGGAAGAGGAAGGGGAGGAGGAGGAGGATGGGGAAGAGGAAGGGGAGGAGGAGGATGATGGGGAAGAGGAAGGGGAGGAGGAGGAGGAGGATGGGGAAGAGGAAGGGGAGGAGGAGGAGGATGGGGAAGAGGAAGGGGAGGAGGAGGAGGATGGGGAAGAGGAAGGGGAGGAGGAGGAGGATGGGGAAGAGGAAGGGGAGGAGGAGGAGGATGGGGAAGAGGAAGGGGAGGAGGAGGAGGATGGGGAAGAGGAAGGGGAGGAGGAGGAGGATGGGGAAGAGGAAGGGGAGGAGGAGGAGGATGGGGAAGAGGAAGGGGAGGAGGAGGAGGATGGGGAAGAGGAAGGGGAGGAGGAGGAGGATGGGGAAGAGGAAGGGGAGGAGGAGGAGGAAGGGGAAGAGGAAGGGGAGGAGGAGGAGGATGGGGAAGAGGAAGGGGAGGAGGAGGAAAAGGAAGGGGAGGAGGATGGGGAAGAGGAAGGGGATGAGGAGAAGGAAAGGGAAGAGGAAGGGGAGGAGGAGGAGGATGGGGAAGAGGAAAGGGAGGAGGAGGAGAAGGAAGGGGAGGAGGAGAAGGATGGGGAGGAGGAGGAAAAGGAAGGGGAGGAGGAGGAAAAGGATGGGGAGGAGGAGGAAAAGGAAGGGGAGGAGGAGGAAAAGGAAGGGGAGGAGGATGGGGAAGAGGAAGGGGAGGAGGAGGTGAAGGATAGGGGAGAGGAAGGGGATGAGGAGGAGGATGGGGAAGGAGAAGGATAGGGCAAATGAAGAGGAGGAGGAGTAGAAGGAAGGGGAAGAGAAGGAGGAGGAGGAAGAGGGCGGTTGTGAATTAGAAGAGGAGGAGGAGGAGAAGAATTAGGAGGAGAAAAAATGGATGTGGAAGAAGAGAAGTTAGAGGAAAAGCAAAAACGTGATAATAAGAAAGAGAAAAGTGAAGGGAAAGTAAAAGAAAATATGAAGGTGAGAGGGAAGAGAATAGAAATGGGCAAAGAATAGGGAAGAAGAGATAGACATAAACAGGATACACAAGCTGAAGAGAATAATTGCTCGTATTAGATTAAAAAAAAGAAAAAAATACTGTTTTGAAATGAGAGAAACGATAAAGCACTAGGATTTGAGAGACGAAGTTTATGAAGGGAATAAAGGGAAAAACAGATAGAAGATAATGACAAAACAAGAACAGAAAACATAATAATAATTTGTATATGACTCAGATCAGTCTAGAGGGACATTTGCATAATGGTGAAAAATAGAAAGACATAGAAATATATATTTTAGAATTTAGCCAAATTGCAGAGGTTGCTAATTAACGATAAAATAATTTTTTATACCATATTTCTTTGTATAAAGGAAGGGGGTGATTTTTTTCATAGGGAATGGTTCTTTGATGTCTTATAAGAACTGAAAATATCATCGTTTTTTATATATATTTTTCCCCCCCAGAGGTTGTTGACGTAAATATAAGATTTCTTCTCGTTATCTCGTTTTTTGTGTTGCTTTTGTTGGCGAAATGTGTTTGCTTCCGATATCTTCGCAGCATTTCAGTTTACTTTCCAGCTAGAAGTTTTTATTCGTGTATCAGTAAATGTTCGAGTTATATCTTTGAAAGAGAGAGAGAGAATTGCGAGGGAGGGAGAGGGAGAGAGTAAGAGGGAGAGAGTAAGAGGGAGAGAGTAAGAGGGAGAGAGTAAGAGGGAGAGAGTAAGAGGGAGAGAGTAAGAGGGAGAGAGTAAGAGGGAGAGAGTAAGAGGGAGAGAGTAAGAGGGAGAGAGAGAGAGAGAGAGAGAGAGAGAGAGAAAGAAATCATTGTTTGTGTATGGGTGCATGTATGTATATGTCTGTGTGTGCATAACCGAGTTTATGAATGTTAACTATTTACTTGTGAACCGCATGTGCACGAATATGTATGTGTGTCTGTGCGTGTGTGTGTGTGTGTGTGTGTGTGTGTGTGTGTGTGTGTGTGTGTGTGTGTGTGTGCACGTGTAAGACTACATATGTGTACCAAAATTGTTGAGCAAGGAATGGGAGATATACGTATAGATTCTAGGGAGAAATATGACCCTCTGCTAAGGGTGCCGGGTCAGTAACGGTCATATCAAGGTGAACGACAAATGGCCTTAATATGTCTTTAAATCCCCGATGGACTTTGCCCCGCAAAATAAATATATATGATATAGTAGGTAAAATATGGTGTAATAAATAAGATAAATTCCTGCAAACATATATGTAAGTAAGTAAATAGATAAAAGATATGATAATACGAGATAAGCAGGTTAGTCTGGAGGTACTTAAATACACCTGTTACAAAATGATTTAAATGCGTAGTCGACGAGGTGAACTTGACAATAGATGAAATGAACTAACCTGAGCTGGCGGGTTGCCAAGGAAGCGAGCATCAACATGCGGGATCTAATTCTCTTCTGCGAACCTATTAGCTTATAATGAGTCGGTTATGCTAAGGGTGTTGCGCCCTCGCCCCTTGCCAGTGTGTCGCCTCTCCTATTCGGGTTCGTGGAGTTTATTAGTATTATTATCTAGACTCCGTAGTCATTTTCGTTGTTTTATTGTTATCACCGTCATTTTCATATTCTTACATTTTGTATTTTTCATCGCCGCCAGGTTTGTTGTTGTTATTTTTGTTGTTATATTTCATAAAGCTTTAGTCCCCTTGTGTTGTTTTTTATCGTCTGATTGTTTGCTATTTTTTCTTTCTTTCTTTCTTCAATTTCTCTTCCGCTGCTACGCCCCTCTCGCTTTTTCTTTTTTCTACCAGCCACGTTCTAGGAAGGGTTGGGGGAACGCACCTCTGCTTTATATTCGTAGAATTCCTAAAACTATCGAGAAGAAAAGGCAAGTGCGATACGCATTCAGTTTGGTCGTTTTAAAGGAAATTTCTTTGAAATCAGTTCTTTCATCATTTCGGTTTTACTGAATCGTACGGAGTGGTTAAAGGGTGTTTCATGTACCAGTTTCCTATTTTGGATATCAATTGTTGCTTAAAAGAGTGCTCATTGTCGAGGGTTTCTGTGGTTATTTTCGTGTATGGTAAGTATACTATATATCGGTGGACTGTTGGTGATGTGTGTGCAGTATATAGGTCTATATTTTCTAATTGTGCTTCATATTATCAAGAGGTTTATTTCAGTTTCATTTTAGGCTTGGGTATCAAACAGAAGGACCACACTTTCCTTAATACGAAACATGTTTTTTCCTTACGTTGACCTGTGTCAGGGGAACGAACGCAAGTTTATGTAGCGAAAAGAAGCAGTCATTTGGAACAGAAATTGAACTCCTGGCTTCAGGGACCGTCAGCAAACCGAAGAACGACCGCGGCTGCTGACACGTAATCCAAGCATATGTGTTGACACTCTCCGGCAACGAACAAGGGCCGCTCCCTCTCCCGACGCAGGCAAGCACGGAAACACGCGAACTGGGGAACAATCGAAGTGAAGTTGGAGAGGGGAGGGGAAGGGGAGGACCCGCCATGACACTTGCGGAGACGGTTATTTTCGTAGTAGAGTTCGGAAATGGGTGTGGGGGGAGAAAGGAAAAGTAAAACATGCTGTCTGGAGATAGGTGAGGGGAAGAAATTAAAAATAAAAAAGAGAGATAAGTAAGGGGAAGAAATGATTTGTAAAACATACGGTGTGAGAAAAAAACAGGGTTCTGAAATGAGTCAGTTGATGTCCAAGGGAGAAATGAGTAGTAAGACACACGGCCTGAAAGAAATGAGTATCAAACAATACTTAACTAGGGCGAACCTTTAACTTATTTTTTACGAACTTAATCTCGAAAGCAACAAGCTCGTGCTCTAAATTATTATAAATAGTATACAATGTTGCCCTGAAACAAGTGAACGGAGTTTACAGAAATAAATACAGCACGCATAACTCGTAATCTCCAGATTTTGTTTAATATTAAGCAGTATAGTAATCTTTTATGAGCAACAACCCGAGAGAGAGAAGTGTGCTTTCGTAATTTCAACCCAGGATTACGCCCTTTAATTATTAGTCACAGGAATTGCCTGATTGGGATGATTAATTTAAAGCGCATCAAACAAATTTAAGATGTTTGCTTAAAATGTAGCATACCTGAGGCATACAGCGGTCTTTACGATGTAATTTTAGGTTACCATAATTTGTTAAAGTTGAAGGAACATGTACAGAAGGTCAAAGTAGCGTTCATTGTGAAACATTTACTGCAGCAGTACGGAGATTTCAGATATATATTCAGACTTGAAAGTCGAATAAAGAGGAAAATAAAAGAAAGTTTGAAATGCAAAAATGTAAAACATCCGGAATAATGAAGGAAACAAGAAAACCGTGACGTTTCGAGCCAGACTACACGCATCATCAGACTGCTTGTTGTTCCTTTATTACCGACTGTTACATTTCATCTTTATACGAACGTTACTGCGTTTGCGTCGGTCTTCACCAAAGGAAAAACAAAATAGTCACCGCGTTTAAGCTGGTCGGAATCTCAGTAGTAATGTGTAGTAGTCTAGCCAGTTGGGCAGATGTTCGTCCCACCTGCCAGTCATTCAGCCAGTCATGAAAATGAGCAATCGCGGCGTAATGCATTTTAAACAGATTAAGTTATCAATCAGCTACAAAATATCCTAGTTAATAAGTGCGACTGAGGATTACGTTTGGCGTCGCCATATGCCCTTTAAGAATATGCCAGTCAATAGAAGTGGGATAAACATTAGCGAGGCTTCTAACCTACTTTGAACCAGTCGATTGCAAACGAAGGGAAAAGAAAGATAACATTAAATTCTGACAAACTCAAATTCTCGAGAATAGTAAAAAGCAAAATCGTCTATCATCGAGAACAGTCACGCAAGATTGGGAATAACTTTAACGATAACGGTCAACGTATTGGTGGAGTTAGGCTTTGAGCGCTGTGGTATTCCAGGAGGTCGAGTTGAGGGCGAGGAGGGGAGAGCGGGAGGAATGAGGAAGAGAGGAAAAAGAATGAGTGGGAGAAGGAGGAGAAGAAGAAGAAGAAGAAGAGGAGTAGGAGGAAAAAGAAGAAGAAAAAGAAGATGGGGAGGAAGAGAAGTAGGTGTCCGCGCTCCAGGAAGTCGGGAAATGGAAAGGAAGGAAGCGGCTGGACATCATGCCAGGTGCCGGAAGCGGAGGGAGAAGGAAGGGCCGAATGAAGAGGAGAAGAGGGAGAGGGGGAGTAAAGGGGGAAGAGAAGGGTTGAAGGAGAAGAAGAAAAGTGAGAGGGAAGGAGAGAGGAGAGAATGGGGTTAATGGAGAAGAAATGGGAGGGGAAGTGAAATGAGAGGAGGGAGAGGGGAGCAAAAAGGGGAAGAGAAAGGGTTGAAGGAGAAATGGGACGGGGTAGGAGAGGGAAGGAAAAGGAGAGAAGGAATAAACGGAGAACAGATAAGAGCAGAAATGGGAGAAGGGGTGAGGAGGTAGTCGAAAAGGAAAAGGGGGAAGGGTCAGCGAGAAGGAGGAAGAAGGGGCAAAGAGGAGGGACAGAGAGAGAAACGGAAACCTCGGAGACGCACAAAGGTCCTGGAGTGATAAGGAGGACAAGGACAAATGGAAGGGGAGACCGCGAGAGAAAATGTGGCAACGGAGCGACCGAGGGAGATGGCAACGAGGAAAAAGAAATAAGAAAGAGCTACCTTTCATGCTCATGATAGAAGAAGGAGAGGGATAAAATGAAGAGAACTTGCGCAACAAATACAGGTACGAGAAGCACGATCGTAAAAAATGGAGGTATTTGTCTACGCGTGAACATGCAAGGAAAATCTGTGTCTTCTAGACAGCAGCTTGGTGTTGTGTGTGTGTGTGCGTGCGTGCGTGTGTTTCACTGTATGTGTGTATTTCACTGCATGTGTGTATCTCATTGTATGTGTATGTGTGTCTCTGTTTCACTGTGTGTGTGTGTGCTTTTTTGCGTGGATATAGGATTGTCATATAATGATATTTTGCCCGTGTGCATGCATGTGTATGTACTTGTGTGTAGGTAAATGCGCTTGATATTAGAGAAAGCTTATATTAGCTTCTGCAAGAGCAAAACTAATGCGCACTCACGCGCGAGCGTGTGTGTGTGTGTGTGTGTGTGTGTGTGTGTGAGCAAGCTTATGCACTCAGCAGTAGAGAAAATGTATTCCAAATAATATATAACGCCAAGTACGTATATACTGGAGCAAGTTAATGTATTTCAGGAAAACTTGTTATGCAGGGAAATGTGTTTCCGGGAAAATAACAAACGTCCGGTGAAGGTTTAACACGGGAAGAGTCTGTCGGCGAGGGAGATGCAAGGGAATGCGTGCGCGATGCTGGGCCTCCCCGGAGTCTTCGAAGCGCAGAGATTGAATCATACAACGGCATAAAGTCCAATGAGCGGATTTCTACCTTTTATTTACATGAGGTCCTTGCGGGGATAATGCCAAGGAATTTCCTTATCTTCTCTCTCTGTTTCTGATATCTCTTGCTCTTTTTTTTTTTTTGCTCTCCCTCCCTTCCTCCCTCCTTCCCTCCCTCCCCTCCCTCCCTTACCCCCCCTCTCTCTCTCTCTTTCTCCCTCTCTCTCCCTCCTTCCCTCCTTCCCTCCCTCCCTCCCTCCCTCCCTCCCTCCCTCCCTCCCTCCCTCCCTTCCTTCCTCCCTTCCTCCCTCCCTCCCTTCCTCCCTTCCTCCCTTCCTCCCTCACTCTCTCATTCTCCCTACCTTCCTCCCAATTCTCTCTCTCTCTCTCTCTCTCTCTCTCTCTCTCTCTCTCTCTCTCTCTCTCTCTCTCTCTCTCCTCCCTTCCTTCCTTACTCCCTTACTCCCCTCTCTCTCTCTCTCTCTTTCTCTCATCTATTCTCCTTTTCTCTCTCTTTCTTTCTTTCTTTCTTTCCTCTCCAATTCTCCTTCTCCCTCTCTCTCTCAGTCAAATAACACGACCGAATAAGTGTAAACACGGGACAATCTGAGCAGCATGTATCGTGGAGGCTTATATCGCCAAGTGCAGCCGCAATAAGAGGGTTCTGTGTGCGTGTGTGTATGTGTGTGTGTGTGTGTGTGTGTGTGTTAATGTGTGTGTCTTTTTCACTGTGTGTGTTTTTTTGCGTGGAAATATGATTGTCATATGATGATATTTTCTATCCGTGGTGGGTTTTTTTATATATTCAGATTTTAGAGAAAAAATAAAATATGGCATTTTAAAATTCTTATTTCCATATTATTTAAACTGCATATTCAGAATTGTATATATATGGAGTAATCTTACATTTTCATTTTAACTAACGTTATTTGCCCTCTGTCACTGCACGTGCGTGTGCGTTTGTGCGTGTGCGTGTGCGTGTGCGTGTGTCTGTGTGTCTGTGTGTCTGTGTGTCTGTGCCATAGGATATAGATATCTGTGGCTGCATGTATATGCCTCACCTTTTATTTCTCTTTCTGAAAAAAAATTATTCGTATTTCGAAATAGTAAAACGTTTATTTTCTCTATCTTATAAGAATTGTATATTCTTCTGGCTGGTGAAAAAAGTAGAAATCAAGTTTAATTTGTAAAGCGTAATATATTTTATCTCATAAAGTAAACTTATCTGTGAGAAAAAGAAGCATGATTTAACGTAGAAAATATATCAGTTGTTCGTTGGCTGACTCTCAAATGGATTCCTGTCAGCCCTTTTTTATCACGTTGGAAGTCTATCAAACATTCTTATACTCTTTCTCTCTCTCTCTCTCTCTCTCTCTCTCTCTTTCTCTCTCTCTCTCTCTTTCTCTCTCTCTCTCTCTTTCTCTCTCTCTCTCTCTCTTTCTCTCTCTCTCTCTCTTTCTCTCTCTCTCTCTCTTTCTCTCTCTCTCTCTCTTTCTCTCTCTCTCTCTCTTTCTCTCTCTCTCTCTCTTTCTCTCTCTCTCTCTCTTTCTCTCTCTCTCTCTCTTTCTCTCTCTCTCTCTCTTCTCTCTCTCTCTCTCTTTCTCTCTCTCTCTCTCTTTCTCTCTCTCTCTCTCTTTCTCTCTCTCTCTCTCTTTCTCTCTCTCTCTCTCTCTCTCTCTCTCTCTCTCTCTCTCTCTCTCTCTCTCTCTCTCTCTCTCTCTCTCTCTTTCTCTCTCATAAAAAAAATCTAACAACCTCGATTCATAAATCATATTTTTCCTTTTCTTTAATCCTCCAACACATGTTACACCTTTACACCGACCTCGCATAAGCGTCGTCCTTGTTTGATTTGCCAGGTGCTTGGGTTTGCTTGCGTTCCTTCTACAGATGTTGCAGGTGCGAAGGGATAACAGGGGTTGAATGACCTGTTTTGACCGGACAAAGAAAACGGGAAAGAAGGAGGGATAGAGGAGGAGAAGGAGGAGGATGATAGATAGAAAAAGAGGAAAGAAAGAGACTTAGAAAAAGAAATACGTTCAATCATTTCACGTCGATACCGGACGCTGAGTTTGTGATGGTTGATCCCTCTGGATGCGATGCTAAGAAAGGAGAAAGGAAGGGAGGGAAAGGGAGAGGAAAAGTTAAAAAGGAGGAGAGAAGAAGAGGAAAGGGGGGGAAAGGAAGTGAGGGGGAAAAAATATGAAGGGAAGGAAAGAGCTAAGAAGGGTGGAGAGGGGAGAGGAAATGACAGAAAAAGAGAAAAAAGGAGGGAGAAGGAAGAGAAAGGAAAAGAAAAGAGAGGAGGGACAGCGCGAGAGGGGTGGGGAGGGAGAGGGGGGGCGCGGGAGGGAGATCGGGGAAAAATGGATTGAATGGAGCTTCGCCACCTCCCACAGCGGCAGCCTCAGGCGAGTTTGCCTTCCGCTGCTGACACTGCATGCATCTTGCTCTCCTGTCGCGCTCTGTTAGCGTAGTGCTTCTCGTCTTTGGACTTTCTTCCTTTTTACTGGCGTGTGTTTTATATTGCTTTTATGGCCTTTGTTCTTCGTCTTTTCGTTTCGGGATATTTTCGTCCTTTCTTGAGTCATTTACATTGGTACGTCTTGGGGTAGCCTTATCTCTTTTGAAATATTCGTTCTTGACGGAAAAGTATACGCTGAACTGTGTATATTTGCTTCTCCTTTAATGAAATTGTATGATAAGAGTTTTTAGCACTATAAAATATTCAGCATTTATGTAATGAAGTTTGACTTTTTTTGAGTTTTCCGTTTTTCTCCTGGTAGAATAACTCAGACAGAAATAAGAAAGTAAACTAAGGATTAAAAGGAAGAAATAAAGGAACGCGCTTATAGTCCGTAATAATACTGAATTTTTAATTTAGTACAGCGACTCTGAGAAACTCCTTTAGTATAATGAGTACTGTGAGAACCCTTTTGTACAGTGACAGCATTGTTAGGAAGCCTTTGTGCCGGAGCAGAACATCGGGTTTCGAATTCATTGTTCCCACAGACTGATTAGAGGCGGAGATCCATAGGATTCTACCGTGGAAATCCTTATTACTCCAGTTATGGATCGATGCTGCGACGATGGTCATGAATAATTAGCATATTTTCTTCTCCCCTCCCAGAGTTTGTCAAGTTCCCTCTTTACTCGCGCATTTAAATGGAAATGTTGGTTGTAGGCTGAAAAAAGGATGACTTTTAACGATGGTTTAAGGAATGTTATCAGGCTAGGTAAGTTTGATGGCAAGGATTCTAGTGTCGTGTATTGAAACGTGGGTAGTGGCCCGTAGATTGTATGATGTTTAGATATTCTAATCTGACTAGCGGTAAGCTTACGTGTGAAGTCTGATTTCTAGTCTCTGTTAAATATCTTGCAATAACGTTATAAAGATATATTGAATCTTACAGTAAACGTTTATTTTTTTATGTTCATGCCTATATCCATCTATCTGTACATATCCGCGTGTATACCGTATGTCCACATACACACACGGATACGTATATGTTTATTTTATGAAATTTACTTACATAATTGTCCCGGGCTCTCCGTTGACTCTGTCTCCTCATCCGGTGTAAGCAGTAACTCGCGAGGGTAAAGAACACATTAAAACACCGCTAGACCTTCTTTTTCTTTACGTAATGGAAGGGTGC